GCTGCAGTAGTAGTAGTAGCGTTAGGAGTAGTCTTCAGCGCTGGGCGCTATTAGGAGCTAGAGTAGTGTTGGAGAGAGAGAGAGAGTTGGCAGAGGCCAGGGAGACTTACCTGTGGCCCCATAGCTCCAGTTTCGTCTTCGATGTACCTGCAACAAGGCGCCACCTTCACAGGTTAGTATCGGACTGAGAGAGAGAGAGAGTTCTTCTTCTTCCTCTTCTAAGTCCACCATCTCTCCCTCACCCTCTCGCTACCTGACTTCTCAGTATCTGCAGACTACGAGAGAGAGAGAGAGAGAGAGAGAGAGAGAGAGATTGGTGACTTTGGGACTTGACGGCATTTGGATTCAGACTCGACATTGGGATTGAGACATTGGACGAGGGATTATTTGTGACCTGTACCGAAGACTTGGTGTTGACGACATTCCCATCTTCCCTTCTTCTTCGTCTGATCCCCTCCTCTTCGTCTGTGTATGGTCTGGACCTGGCGCCTTCTTCCTGTGTGTAGCGCCAGGCCCTTCACACCTTGCGATGATGATGATGTATGTTTGGTCTGCATTGCGACATTGATTGGTCGGATCATTGGTATATTAGCCTTCCGCTGCGCTATCTGGTACTATGTGAGAGAGATCGGTTCTTGTTCTGGTCTGGACCGTTACGGTATGCGACAGTTTGGTAACGGAGCGGACCTCTCAATCAGAGGATCCGCCCAATCAAGAAGCCAGCTTGCTTGATCGATTGCTTGTTGAATGATTAATTGATTGATTGATTGATTGATTGATTGATTGATTGATTGATTGATTGTTTATTAGTGAATCAAGTAGGACTTCGTCAAATCTCTGCAATTTTTTTTTCTCTTTTTTCGCAACTTCGTATATTAGCATTCCGTTTTCTGTTTTACTCTGGGCATATTAGGTGAACTAGGGAGGTTGTCATATTCTCGGACTGGATCTATTCTTCTCTGAAAGTGGAACCTCCAGTCTATTTCGCGCAAGTTTTTTTTTTCAAGATCACATTTCTGAAAAGCCGAAACTTTGCGAAACCTTGCCTAGATCTCGCTCATAGTACTCCTCTGAAATGCCTCACTCATAGCAGATCGACAGATATACAAAAAAAGAAAAAAAAAGGGATGATCCTCTTCTTTTATTTTTATTTTTTATTATTATTATTTTTTTTTTATTCAGTTGATTAGGACTGGGAGGAAAGTACAGTTTGGTTGGTTACCTTCCTGCGCTTTCCCTCCCACCCAACCCTTTGCCTGCATTTCCGGTTTGGTAAGTGCCACGTCAGCAGTGCCACGTCAGCAGTGCCACGACAGCAGCAGTACCAACATCAGCAGTGCCCCGCCACCATGACGGTTTCAGCTTCGGGCATGCCAGGCCAATTGGCCAACGAGTCCATTGACGAGTAGCGGCAGCAGTTTCTAGATCAGCTCGCACTGATCGAGGTTGAGGTACAGCGCCAGGCGGCAGCTGAGGCTGCCCGCCTACAGGCTGAAGCAGAGGCAGAAGCCGACAAACAGCGGCTTCAGGCCGCAGCTGACGCAGACGCAGACGCCCAGGCCCACGGCAAGGAGGCCCAGGATCTACTGCAGCGGCACGAAGCCACCAGCATCGACAAGCTCAAGTTCTGGCATTTCGAACCATCCGAGGACCATGACGGCGCAACACCGGAAGAGCAGCACAAGGAGTTCCTCTCCAAACTTGTGACCCGGTTGGTCTACACTTGTAACCACCTGCAGTCCGAGTTAGAGAAACAACACCAGGAATGGCGAAACAGCACCAGGACCTGGAGAACCTCCGACGGGCAGTGCGGAACCACAAGGATCTGCACGAGGGTGCTACACGGGCACTTGATCCCCGTGTACAGGACTTGGAGCAAGCAGCACCAAGACCAGACGTTGGGAAACCCAGCAATGCAGCCTCAATCCGCCAGTTGGAGCAACAAGTTGACCATGTAGTCGCAATGCTCGGCGACATCAGCACCTTAACCGCACCAGCCACTATCAGCGAGCAGCTCGGCACCTTGCAGACCGAACTCAGGCAGCTACACCAGCCGCCCGACAACGATCGCAGCACTACAAGATGCCGACGTTCTGGATCAAGAAGTTTGACGACTATACGCATCAGGACCCAGTCGTCTGGTGGCAAGGCTTTACAACGGAGCTTGGGATTCACGAGGTCCCCGAACATTTGTACATTGCGGCGCTATTCCTCAACGTCAAGGGCAGATGCCAGATCTGGCTCAGCCACATGGCAACCATCCACGGCGTCCAGGGCAACAACTTATTACACAAGAAGATCTCATGGGAAGGTCGAATGAGAGAATGGAAGAAGCGGTTCATTGTTGACGACGCCCTGACGCTCGCCATCAACCGCCTCTTCGCCATGACCCAAGCCAACACATCGACATGCGATTGGCTCACGGAATGGCAAAATGCTGCACCTGCAACAGGCTGCATGGGCCTCCTTTCAGGCCCGTGACGTTTTCAGGCCAAAAGCCTGAAAACAAGGGCCTACAACCCCCGTGTCGTTTCAGCCTGAAAGCCCGAAAACAAGGGCCTACAGGCCCTTTGTCGTTTCAGGCTAAATCAGGGCTTTTCCGGCCCTGAGTGTTTTCAGCCAGAAACTGAGGGCCATTTTCAGGCCCTCATCAGTTGGACCCGCCCTGGCAACAAACCAGGGTTTTAGCACACCATTTCGGGCCTGTTTTCAAGACAACCCCTGGTTGCCCTTCAACGCCAGGGTCTGGCACGTTTCGGCATTGGCAAGAGCAGCCTCCTAGACAGGCCAGCACAATATAGGACTGGCCCGCCCTGCAGGCCGGCAAGTAGTTCCTAGGTACTTCCCAGGCACTTCACGTGCAGTTCAAGAGGCAGGAGGTAGTCTTCAGGATTCGGCAGCAGCACTCTAAAGGAGCGCTGCAGGAGTAGCGGTAGCGCTAGCAGTGGTCTTCAGCGCTCGGCGCTAGTAGCGTTAGCAGTAGTCTTCAGCGCTGGGCGCTCTTAGGAGCTAGAGTAGTTCTAGAGAGAGAGAGATTGGGCGGCGGCCAGGAATACTTACCTGCAGCGCCATAGCTCCAGCTTCGCCTTCGAGGTACCTGCAGCACAACGCCATCTTCACAGGTTAGTACCCGACATACGAGAGAGAGAGAGTTCTTCTTCTTCCTCTTCTCAGTCCACCATCTCCCTCTCACCCTCTCGCTACCTGACTTCACTGCATCAGCAGACTATGAGAGAGAGCGGGCTTGGTGACATTTGGATCCAGACTCGACTTTGGGCTTTAGACATTTTGACGAGGGATTATTTGGGAGTTGTAACAAAGATTTGGTGTTGACGACATTCCCATCTCTCCCCCTCTTCTTCGTCTGTTCCCTTCCTCTTCGTCTGTGCATGATGTGGGCCTGGCGCCATCTTCCTGCGTATAGCGCCAGGTCCCTTCACACCTTGTGATGAGGATGATGTATGTTTGGTCTGCGTTGCAACATGGATTGGGCTAGTCATTGGCATTCTAGCATTTTGCTGCGCTCTCTTACACTACATGATAGAGGTCAGTCCCGGTCAGGTTAGGACTTGTATCTAAGTCTTCCACTGCACTATGAAGCACCATTTTTCTATGTATCAGAATGTATACTGCTTGTTGAGATTTCACTTGCACTGCATGTCCATTCAGTCCTTTTTATCACATTGCGGATCCTCGGTTTATTATGTACATCGCCCAACTGGGCATGTAACAGTTGGTATCGGAACACCGCACGTGAATCAGGACAACCTGATCTGACACGTGTGAGGGATTGATTAGAGCACACTAGCTAGCCCCCAAAATCACGATTTTGACCTCACTACCGGAAATTGAATTTTTTTCTTTTCTTGGATTTTGTTTTCTCGCTATTTCTGTTGTGGAAAATCGCAATAGCACAACATCTGAAATTTTCGTTTTTCGTTTTCCTTCTCAAAATTTGAAATGTCGTTGTTGGAAAACCGAAATATCTTTTTTTTGAAAATTTCGATTTCCTTTGCAATTTCCCGTTATTTAGAAAATCCGGAATATATTTTTTCAAAATTCATTTTTTTCTAAAAACGGTACGGGAAATCCCTCTTGCAGTTTTATATTCCAAACTGCAAATGCTCTCATCTGAGTTAGTCCGAATGCTTGTTATTTCTTTTCGGAATTTTTCTTATTCGCAGTTCTATGATTTTCACTACCTGATAATCATTGGCAGTCTGAAAGTTCGAATTTTTTTTTTATCATTGATAATTTTGCACTTCAAGGGAGGTTGGGAGACCTACTGAACTTGCAAAACTCGGGATTTTTATTTTCTCGAAAAAATTTTTTTGCAAAGTTCAAACTTTTCTTTTTTTGATTAGTGGCTCCTTATCTGGGCGATTTATCCCCACCCACCCCTCCCCACCTACGTTGTTGCCCCCTCTGTTCTTATCTTCTCTGTCGGTCTCCGGGTACCCCCTGTGGCGGCATTGGTAAGTTGCCACGTGAGCAGGCCATGCCAGCAGACCACGTCAGCAGGCCACGTCAGCAGGACACGTTAGCAGGACACGTCAGCAGGACACGTCAGCAGCAGGCAGTGCCACGTCAGCAAGCCCCCTGGCTGGTCAATGCGCACGCACTTACAAACAGCCGACATGGATCAGAAGTCCGGGGAAACGGACGAGGCCTATGAGGCCCGGATGCTGCTTCTGATTACCGAAGCCAAGCAACGGTCGGATGCAGCAGCAGCCGCAGCAAAGAAGAAGGCAGAGGACGCCGAGAAGGCACGTCTGTTGGCAATTGAACAACAGCACCAGCAAGACGAGGCAGCAGCAAAGGCTGCCGATGAAGAATGACTTCAACGACGCGAGAAGATATTCAACGGAGAGCGAGCTTTGCTCACAATGGCAGCAGACTGGCGGGCCGAGGCTGAGAATGGGAAGCTGGAAGAAAATGGAAACAAGATCGCTCTACTCCTCTCCCATCTCACGGACCTCCTGGCCACGTGCATTGCATAGCAGGAGGACATTCACAACCTCGACGACGCGGTTCAGACACACAGTCAGGTGTTTGACCAACTCACCAGCCGCCTCCAGCCGCTGGAACAAACCGTCGCCGACCCCGTTGTCAACTCTTCCAACACCTCCGATCGCCTTGAGGCATTGGAGATTGACGTCGGATCCCTCAAGGACGGCGTGCAGTTACAGCAAAACGCCACGCAACAGTTGGAGCAGTGGATCTGTACTGCCGCCACTCACTCGAGATCGGAACCGCGCGAGACAACTCCAATGTTCGATGATCAGGAGATCTTCTGCGATTCGATGAAGACGGACCCGATTCCGTGGTTCCGTAAGTTCGAACTCAAGTTGCAGCTACACTACGTCAACGAGCTCAAGCATCACACGTACTTGTATTCCCGTTCGGGGGGCGCGTACCAAGCATGGCTGGACAATCTCCTGTCCAAGCACGGAGTGGTGGCTGCCGACTTGCATACCAAGATCAGCTCGGATGATCTAAAGGTGGCGTGGCATAAGCGGTTCCAAGTAGAGCCGCCGGAGATCAAGGCAATGGACAAGCTGATGGTCTTCAAACAAGGCACACTGCTGAGTGTTGATTGGATTGCCGAGTACCAACGCTTGACATCCGTCCCAGACATTCAAATGGGCTTCAAAGCCATCAAACACTACTGCATCTCGAGGTCGTGTCCGGCGTTGGGCAATGCCTTGACTCACTTCGAGGACACCTTGATGACACCGGCGAAGCTCTTCGACAAGGCCGCGCAGATTATTGTCACGAACAAGGAGGCTAAGAACCTTCACCGTTCGTCTGCGACAGGCCCGAGCATAGATCAACATTGGCCGAAAGTGGTCGTGGTCGTGGCTGCAATGCCAATCGAGGCCATGTCTTCCAATGAAGGGGACAGACTCGCAGCCGCCCGGGATGGTGGCCGCCCCGGCAAAGGCCGAGGACGCGGCAAAGCGAAGACAAACACCGCATCTAGCCCCGGGCCCGGCGCAGCAGCTCCAGCCCCATGGTCCCAATACGGTCTCTCCGAGCAAGCATACAAGGCACGCATGAGATTTTGTCTGTGGTGTAACAGCGATCTCCACGAGACAATGGGCTGCCCGTCAAAAGACGAAGGCAAATCGGGAAACTGAGCACCGCCGGGAGTAAGTCGACGACACTCTCAACGCCTTCAGAACCGGTCACTTTGCGGGTGACCGCCGTTCGTTCCGAGGCACATGCAGAAGTCGATAGTCCTGCTCTTCTTTATTCTTTTGAGGACTATGTTGCCCGGCTCGTTCCTACGCTGGGTACTCATGCTCAAGGACAAGACGTGTGTGCGACATCTTCTTCGTCCGGCATCAGCGACTTATCGTCTTCAAGTGGTTCTTCACGGGATTCGACGCGCGAGTTCAACATAGAGGTATTGGACCCGCTCACGTTCGAGGATTTCGCATGGCTTCCTCTCCCGACCATGGGCTGCTTGCCGGGACTGCAATGCGCAACATTATGCGCTCATCTTCACACGTACTTATCCTTCTATGCACCACCAACTTCGCCGACGGATGACGAAGTCGCGGTGGGGGACATCCTTGTGTATGTTACCAAGGTGGCCCGCGAGTTTCGCAAGCAGCGGTACAACGACAACAAGCGTCCTGCAGCGCTTTGCTGGATAGTGGCGCGTCTCGCAATTTTATGAGTCAGGCCTTTATGCAAAAGGCTGCCCTTGGCGCACAAGTTCGAAGGAAGGCAAACCTGACGGTGATCCAGTTGGCGGACGGAAGGACGCAACAACTTATCGACCACTACATCGAGGCCGTACCGGTGTATTTCGCACCTCATGCATGCGAACCAGTGACATTCGACATTTTGGACACGGACTTCGACATTATTTTGGGAATGCCTTGGCTTGCAAGTGTGGATCACACGGTCAACTTCCACCGGCAGACTCTTATTGTTCACGACGCCTTCGGCGCCGAAGTGTCGTGTACTATTCCTCTTCTGCACCCTTCAATTTGGTGCCAAGTGGTAACGGCCAAGTCGTTCCGGGCTACTTGCGCTTACGAACAGCCCGACGAGATAGGCCTATGCTTCCTACGGACCGTCGCGGTAGCCGATTCTTCACCCACAGACTTGTCTTCGGACCCCCGTGTGGTGTCGTTGCTTGACGAGTTCGCCGACATCTTCGAGCCACCTACCGGTGTGGTGCCGGATCGGTCAATCTCTCACGAGATCATTCTTGAGGCCGGTGCCGTGTCGCCAGAAGGCTGCATTTATCGCATGAGCGAGGAGGAGCTTACGGTCCTCCGCGCGCAACTTGATGACTTGTTGGACAAGGGTTGGATCCGCCCTAGTGGCTCTCCATACGGAGCGCCAATTCTCTTCGTATGGAAGAAGAACAAGGATTTACGATTGTGCATCGATTACCGCAAGCTCAACTCCCAAACCGTCAAGAATGTAGGGCCTCTTCCTCGCATCGACGATCTTCTTGAACGATTGGGTGGCGCGAAGTATTTTTCTAAGTTGGATTTGAAGTCGGGATATCATCAAATCTCGATCCGACCGAACGATCGTTACAAATCCGCGTTCAAAACGCGGTATGGGCATTTTGAGTGGGTGGTCATGCCTTTTGGCCTCACCAACGCCCCGGCGACCTTTCAAGCGGCAATGATCAACGAGTTCCATGCGATGTTGGACCTGTTCATGCTGGTCTACTTAGACGACAATCTCGTCTATAGCCGGTCATTGGAGGATCATCTTGAGCACCTTCGACGAGTGTTGGAGACGCTCCGCTGCGCCAAGTACAAGGCCAACCGCGACAAGTGCGAATTTGTCCGGCAAGAGCTGGAATACTTGGGCCATTTTGTCACAGCGGAGGGCATCAGTCCGCTATCGGACAAGATTCAAGCCATCCAAGAGTGGCCGGAGCCGCGGAATGTCACGGATGTTCGTTCGTTCCTTGGCCTTGCCGGTTACTACCATCGTTTTATCAAGGGATACTCGAAGATCGCGACCCACTTGACCAAGCTTCAATGCGAGGATCGGTCGTTTGACTTGGGAGAGGATGTGCGGGAATCATTTTTGGTTCTCAAAGCTGCGCTATTATTTGCGGAGGTCTTGCGCATCTACGTTCCGCTATTGCCTACACGCGTCACTACGGATGCGTCCGGCTATGGCATTGGTGTCGTCCTCGAACAACACGATGGCGTGGACTGGCACCCGATCGAGTACTTCAACAAGAAAGTGCCCGTCGTGCACTCCATTGATGATGCACGCAAGAAGGAACTTCTTGCCTTCGTCCACACGCTCAAGCGGTGGTGGCACTTCCTCCTTGGTCGAAGGCAATTCCGATGGGTAACGAACAACAATCCGTTGGTCTTCTACAAGACCCAAGACACTGTCAATAGCACAATCGCTCGATGGATGGCTTTCATCGACCAATTTGACTTCTTTCCCGATCATATTCCGGGGAAGTCGAACCGTTTTGCGGATGCTCTTTTACGGCGTCCGGATCATTGTACCGCAGTCTACTCGACCTTCGAGATCGGCGACGACCTGCGGGACAGCTTCGTCCGCGGCTACCAAGCCGACCCCGAGTTTCGCGACAAGTACGTGAATTGCTCCTCTCCTAATCCGGCGCCTTCTCACTATTGGATCCAAGAGGGGTACTTGCTTGTCTACACGCGAGGGAAAGACCTTCTTTGCGTACCGAGTGACTCTCACTTGCGTACACGGCTTCTTGGCGAGTTCCATGATACTCCCGCCACCGGACACTATGGAGTCAATCGCACGATTGGCCAACTTCATGAGCGGTTTTGGTGGCCCGGCCTTCTCAACGACGTCACACGCTATTGCGAGTCATGCGAGGTTTGTCGACGCTGCAAATCCTGCAACCATCGTCCGTTTGGCGAGTTGCGGCCGCTACCGGTCCCCTTGCGTCGAAGGGAAGCGATTACCATGGACATTACCGGGTCGTTCCCCAAGCACAAGACCAGTGCGGATGGGATTTTCACGGTGGTCGACCGACTCACCAAGTTTGCCATGTTTTTGCCTTGCCGCTATCATGCCAAGGCACCGGAGTTGGTCGAGGTTCTTTACGCGGGTTGGATTCGAACCAAGGGTTACCCCAAGGAAATCGTCTGCGACCACGACATTCGGTTCATGTCCGATTTTTGGTTGGCGCTCATCAAACGATGGGGCTCATCTCTCAAGCCAAGTTCGGCTCGCCACCCCCAAATCGATGGCCAAACGGAGAGGGCGCATCAGGCCGCACACCCTTCGCACTCTCATCCGTCCCGCCCAAAAGGATTGGGTTGAGCGGCTGCCGGATGTCGAGTTGGCATACAACTCGTCCATCCACCTGGCTATCGGGATGTCGCCCTTCGAATTCGAGCACGGCTCGCCGATCACTTCTTCGTTGGACACAATCATTCCACGAACGGCTGAGAGCGACCACCATGTTCTTTTCTTGCGTCGGATGCAAGAGCTACTTGTCAAGGCACACAACCAGATGGCCAAGACGCAGCAACGCATGAGCCAACACGCCAATCGCCAACGTCTTCCTTGCCCATTCCGCGCCGGCAATCTCGTTTGGGTTTCCGCCGCGGAATTCAGCCTGGAACAAGATATCTCTCGCAAGATCCTCCCGAAATGGATGGGGCCTTGGCCGATCGTGGCACCCGCTGGGGATGCACCTGAAGGACCTTCCTTCACCATTCAGGTGCCCGCCCACTTGCCCGTCTAACCGGTCTTTCATTGCTCCAAGTTGGCTCTTTGCACGCCAGCGGAACATGACGATTTTCCCGGGCGACGTTCGCAAGACCCACCCTCTATGGACATTTTTCAAGAGGTCGGCGACATCATCTCCCAGCGGCGCTACGGCAACAGGCCAACCGAGTACTTGGTACACTTTGCGTACTGCAGTCACAGAGTTGACCGTTGGTTGACCGTGCGGAACTCCAAACAACAACTCCAGATGTTCTCGCACGCCACGAACGCAAGATGCAAGGCAAGCCGGTATCTTCGGCTCCACGTTGCACCCGCATCCACGTTCCACCTTCAGATCGTCAGCTTCGCCCTCGCCCCGGCTTGACTTCATAAGGAGGGGGGGGGGGTTACATGATGCTCCTGCAACAAGCTGCACGAGCCCCCTTTCAGGTCCGTGACGTTTTCAGGCCAAAAGCCTGAAAACAAGGGCCTACAGGCCCCGTGTCGTTTCAGCCTGAAAGTGTGAAAACAAGGGCCTACAAGCCCTGTGTCGTTTCAGGCTAAATCAGGGTCTTTCTGGCCCTGAGTGTTTTCAGCCCGAAACTGAGGGCCATTTTCAGGTCCTCATCAGTTCGACCTGCCCTGAAACTCGGGCAACAAACCAGGGTTTTAGCACATGCCATTTCGGGCCTGTTTTCAAGACAACCCCTGGTTGAGCTTCAACGCAGGGTCTGGCACATTTCGACATTGGCAAGAGCAGCCTCGTGGACGGGCCAGCACAATATAGGACTGGCCCGCCCTACAGGCCGGCAGGTAGTTCCTAGGTACTTCCCAGGCACTTCACGTGCAGTTCAGGAGGCAGGAGGTAGTCTTCAGGATTCGGCAGCAGCACTCTGGAGGAGCGCTGCAGGAGTAGTGGTAGCGCTAGCAGTAGTCTTCAGCGTTGGGCGCTAGTAGCGTTAGCAGTAGTCTTCAGCGCTGGGCGCTCTTAGGAGCTAGAGTAGTACTAGAGAGAGAGAGATTGGGCGGCGGCCAGGGATACTTACCTGCAACGCCATAGCTCCAGCTTTGCCTTCGAGGTACCTGCAGCACAGTGCCATCTTCACAGGTTAGTACCTAGCATACGAGAGAGAGAGAGTTCTTTTTCTTCCTCTTCTCAGTCCACCATCTCCCTCTCACCCTCTCGCTACCTGACTTCACTGCATCAGCATACTATGAGAGAGAGCGGGCTTGGTGACATTTGGATCCAGACTCGACTTTTGGGCTTCAGACATTTTGACAAGGGATTATTTGGGACTTGTAACAAAGATTTGGTGTTGACGACATTCCCATCTCTCCTTCTTTTCTTCGTCTGTTCCCTTCCTCTTCGTCTGTGCATGATTTGGGCCTGGCGCCTTCTTCCTGTGTATAGCGCCAAGTCCCTTCACACCTTGTGATGAGGATGATGTATGTTTGGTCTGCATTGCAACATTGATTGGGCTAGTCATTGGTATTCTAGCATTTTGCTGCGCTATCTTACACTACGTGATAGAGGTCGTCCCGGTCAGGTCAGGACTTGTATCTAAGTCTTCACCGCACTATGAAGCACCATTTTTCTATGTATCAAAATGCACAATGCTTGTTGAGATTTCACTTGCACTGCTTTGTCCATTCAGTCCTTTTTTTAACACTGCGGAGTTCTACAACCGGTCATGTGCCGCCTTGAGCCTTGCACTCGGTGATCGCGAGCAGTACACGACCTTTGCCGAAATCATCGACAAGGCGGGAGAGATCATCAAGACCAACCGGGCTCCTACACACGAGAAATCAGCATGGCAGCCAGCCTATGTGGAGAAGGGAAAATTTGGTCCGCGTCCGCAGCCCGTCGCTGCAGTCCAACCGGACAACATTGTGGAAGACCCGACAGCCACCCCAACATCACGTGAGGGAGATCAGGTGGCCGTTGTCCAGCCGCGAAGCAACAACAACTCCCGTGGAGAGGGGAGGGCGAAAACCACATCGCCAGCCGGAAACAAACAGCCAGTACCATGGGTCAAGTTTAACTTGACCGAGGCCGAATACAAGTGGCGCAGCCGGTATGGCTGCCGCTATTGGTGCAACAACACCAAGCACAAGACCATCCAATGTCAAGATCATGGCAAGGAGGATGTTCGACCTCGAACCAGCTTGGGAAACTGAGGTGCGTGGGAGGTGAGGCGACTCCACCTCGCACTCCGCCAGATTCGGCCGCCTTGCTAGCGGCCTCCTACACATCTGGGGAGAATTCGTATGTCGCGAGTCCTCGGTTCACTTACAAGGATTACGCTGTCCACTTGGTCCCATAGTTGGACCAGCCACTCCACGCGCAAAAATCCATCGCATGCACGGTTTCATCACCATCGGCAACCGATTTGGCAGCTTCGTCGCGAACTTTCGTTGGGGATTCGACGTCATGGTGAAGACCTGAGAGACTCGACCCGTTGATGTTCGCGGACTTCCAATGGATGCGTCTTCCCCCGACCAGTCGATTGCCGAAACCGCATTGCAATGTGCTCATGGCACAATTGCGGGATTACTTGCACACTGCAGTACCAGCTCCGTTGATGGACGCCGGAGTAGGGGTTGTTGACCTTTGCGACTACCTTGCCAAAATCGACCGCGAGTTCAAGACACAACGGTACGACAACAACGACGCACCATTGTGGTACATACGCATTCAGATCGGAGAGGCAACCTGCTGCACTTTGATTGATTGCAGAGCGACTCGCAACTATATGAGCCAAGATTTTCTGGTACGCGCTGGCCTGGGGCCACACCACGCAAGTCACGTTGGCCAACGGTCACACGCACAAGTCAATCGACTGGTTCATTGATTCCGTCCCTGTGTACTTTGCCCCGCACACAAGCGAGGCCGTGTCCTTCGACATTTTGGACACCACGTTCAGCCACAGGCAATGAGCCTGACGGCCCATCCTTTGTGATCGACATCCCACCGCATCTGCCGGTAAGGACGCTTCACGACCTGCCCCTCCCACCCGGACTTCCCTCCCTCCGACAGGCAGCTTCGCCCTCGCAGGTAAGCTCGGTCTTTCAAGGAGGGGGGGGTGTGGCATACTGCGCATCCACACGGGCCTGCAGGGCCCGACTAGACGAGAAATAAGGGCCCTCCAAGCCCTGTGTCGTTTCAGCCTAAAAGCCTGAAAACCAGGGCCATTTTCAGGCCCTACATAAAGTCGACCTGCCCTGAAACTTAGGCACCAGACCAAGGTTTAGCGCAGGCCACTTTTAGGCCCTCGTCAAGTCGACCTCCCCTAAAACTTAGGTGCCAGACCAGGGATAAGCGCAGACCATTTTTAGGGCCGTTTCAAGACAACCTTTTTTTGGACTTCAGCGCCAGGGTCTGGCACGTTTTGGCATTGGCAAGAGCAGTCTCCCAGCTGGGCCAGCACTATATATTGCTGGTCCGCCCAGGAGGCTGCAGGTAGTTCACGGGGACTTCCCAGGCAGTTCACGGGCAGGAAGCAGGAGGCAGTCTTCAGGATTTGGCAGCAGCACTCTGGAGGAGCACTGCAGTAGTAGTAGTAGCATTAGGAGTGTCTTCAGCGCTGGGCGCTATTAGGAGCTAGAGTAGCATTGGAGAGAGAGAGAGAGTTGGCGGAGGCCAGGGAGACTTACCTGTGGCGCCATAGCTCCAGTTTCGTCTTCGATGTACCTGCAACAAGGCGCCACCTTCACAGGTTAGTATCGGACTCTGAAAGAGAGAGAGTTCTTCTTCTTCCTCTTCCAAGTCCATCTCTTACTCGCCCTCTTGCTACCTGACTTCTCAGTATCTGCAGACTACGAGAGAGAGAGAGAGAGAGAGAGAGAGAGAGAGAGAGAGAGAGAGAGAGAGAGAGAGAGAGAGA